TGACTAAACTGAACAGTACTTTTTTTGTACATCTTTACCGTTAGGCTGCAGAAATCACTATCAGAAAAAACTGTAAAAAGGAAGAGGACATTTGTACAGACAGTAAGATTATGTACCTGTACGGTCACTATTCTCAAAATGAAAAAAATAAAAAGAAAGAAAAGGCAGCGTTAAATGCAATTATTTTAACACAATTTCTGTGTGACATCTCAAATTCTTCCACTGTATAAAGTTCTTCTTTTATGTGGAAAATAAAACACTGAAAACTGCTTCCTGGAATGAACAAGTTCCAATTCTGTGCTGTTTTAACAATTACTGTGTCCAGTGTATTTCTGTATATGCCTTTCTAATAAGAACATAATGAAGGCAAATTGTAGTTATGGCTGAATAACTCAAAATAAACTTCCAGGTTACAGCACTAACCTTTCATCAGGTTAACCTGTGCTCCTTATTGCAACAGCTATAGTGTCACGTATACTAGTATTGCAGATAAAGTAATAGTAATAATCCTAAATAGATGCATCTGGACCTTTGAATTTGCACATTAGATTTTGGCTGGAGATGCTTTCCAAGTTCAAACCTTTCTGAATAGAAAATAAATATAAAATAAACCTATTTGCCCTTGTTTCACTTCTCTAGAAGCAGAAGGAACAGGTAGAAGTTCCTAGGAAAAGCCCAAATATTATATTCTGATACAGGATGGAGGCCAATAATATTTTTTAGCATCCGGTTATCTCATCCAGGCTTCTTATTCTTTAAGCAGCACAGTCACTCTGGAGTTTGAAAGCTATAAAATAAGAATGAAAAGAAACTGTTTCTGAAGTCCTTATTTCTAATATGCTTATATGAGAAAAGAATTTCAGTCTGAGCACCATGTGTAAGAATCATTTTCTTCAGTATGCTGAGATCAATTCAGAGTCACAAGCTATTATTGACCACACAGAGGACATATTACAGTTCTTCCTTTGTGCTCCAAGTATCTCACAAGCTTTTGTGTTGCCATATTATTCTGAGTAATAGTCTAGAAGAGAATTATGGCTGTCAAAAAATTAAGGGCACATCTATCCAGGCACAATTCAGAGATCTATTAATCATGATATTGCAAGTATTAGGGGTGAAATCCTGACGCTCTTGAACCCAGCAGAAAAGTTTTCATCATTAGGAATAGATTTCTTCTAAGTTGCTTATGCATTACTGCTTATGTGAATCTCATTGAAAGATAGGCTTTTTTATTTTATTTTTTTCAATACTGTTTTTTAAAATCCATGAACAAAAGCCTGTGGAGTCTGACTTAAAAAATGATCAATTCTTTTAAATTGTTTACTCATCCTGCAAAATATTTCTTTGAAATCTTTGAAAATAGGCTCAAAAAACTAACACTGCTCCTACATTATTTTTTAAATATGCATTTTCCATGTTCTGATCTTTCCCTTAGTTTCTTAGTTTCTTAGTTTCTTTACAAGGAGAGTGGTTAGGCCCTGGAATGGGCTGCCCAGGGAGGTTGTGGATGCCCCGTCCTTGGACGTGTTCAAGGCCAGGTTGGACGGGGTCCTGGGCAACCTGATCTGAATGTGCATGTTTGGAGGCCCTGCTAGGCAGGGGGGTTGGAACTACATGATCCTTGAGGTCCCTTCCAACCCGGGTGATTCTGTGTGTTCTGTGTGTGTGTGATTCCAAAACATGAGATGCATTCCAATGAAGCTAGTAACTTTATACCACTGCCAAAATACTAATCAGTCTTGCTGGAATTAAAATTACCAAAATTAACTATTTTTAAAAAAAGGAAAATAAAAATATTATTTCTCCATGAATATTTAAATAAAAAACTTCATATTTTTATCCTGCTTCTAAAAGCCACAAAATGAAGAAAATAAAAATTTGAGAGAATTCAGATTGACAATTATACAAGTCTGTTGTTTTTGCTTTCTTTCCCCAAAATGTAATAGCAACATTGCTGGATGTTGTGTTGAGGGACATGGTTTAGTGGGAGCTATTGGGAATAGGTGAACGGTTGGACTGGATGATCTTTTAGGTCTTTTCCAACCTTGGTGATTCTATGATTCTATGATTCTATGAAATAAAAAAATCACCTTCATAAGAGAACATGTATAAAGGTCAAATTATTAAGTAATGATTTTTTTCTTTTTTTTGTGTGACTTGGTATATATAAAGTTTGATTTATGAATAGAGACACATAACTATTTTAATATATTCTCCTGTCCATTGATCCAAAATATATAAAGATACTTAATTATTGCCAAGCAAATTTTTCTTTTTATGTCTAAAAAAGTACAATAGCAATAAAATGCTAATAGTACAATAGCAATAAAATGCTAATAGCTGCTGACTTTTGTTTCTTTTCAACATTAAACAACAGTGATTACTTTTCAACAATGAACTCTGGAAACTTTCAAGTAGAATGCAGGGCACATATACTTCTATTAGCCTTCATCGCTATCACTTTATCACTTATGTACAGTAGTAACAGTTAATATTTATGTTGGGGTTGTGCCTAGAGGAATCAGTCAGATGATGGCAACAGTAAAATAATATAGATAGTAAGTACATAGCTGTTACTCAAACAAAGTGCAACACAAATAACATTCAGAAATCTGTTGTTTTCCTGATACCTCTATGCACTTTGTGACAGTAAAAGAACAGAATTAACATGTATTTTGCATTGCATAGAACAGAGATGTAATTATCTTTTCTGTCAAGTTTCAGAATATGCTTACAGTTGTCAAAAGGCAACATACTTTGGGATTTTGTGTTGCTCAGAAGAAAACTGGATACTGTTTACAGCAGGTTTCATTTGTATTCAAGGAAAAATTAAGAAAATCAAAGAATAACCCCATGTGCTTAATTTAGACCAAAAAAAAATAAATAAATAACAACAACAACAACAACAAACCCTGCATCTACTAAATCACTAAATCTTAATGTTACCTAACCTTCATTTAATGGAAGAAAGTAAATGAGAGAATATTTCCGGTAGACCATATTACATTGTAATTCTAGACAGTTATATTACAAGCTTTGAAAACAAAAACGTAGAACATTGCTTTATTCGATGAATATAAGAGAAAATATTACAAAAAGGAAGTATTGCTTTGAAATAAAACAAATTTAAATTCCCCTTGCCATTTTTTGTCTCAAGGTTTTACTAGTTCTGAAGACTAGTCAAAATTCCCCTCGTCTTTCTGATACTATTATTGTAATTGCATTTAATATACTTCCCACGGGCATATTCCCTAAGTTAGAAACTTTTCTGTTTGATAAAGCCATAGTTGTCATCATAATTCTGCCTTTCTTTACATATTGACTGTACATGTTGCAAATGTAATTCTTAATTGCAATGTAATCCTTAAATCAGAATCTGTTTCATCTTAATATTTTTTCCAGCTTTCAGGTGCATACTTGTCTCATATCAGTACAAAATATTGATGTTAAGTGTTTCAATTACTCTACTTCACTATTTTTTATACATCAGATGGCATTCATATTGTATTTTACTAGACTAAAAGTTTTCTTGTTTTCAAGGACATTCAAGATCCAATATTTCTCCTCTTTTTCTACTGCAGATCTACAAAACTATTACTGTACTTATGCAGTGCCTTCCTAAGAACTTTAGTTTTCCTAAATGTACTGTTAAATTTTCTGTATGATATAACCAGGCTGAGCAACAGTTGGAAATAAATTGTGAAATAAATTATTTCCTTAGTTAATAACAGAAGAACCTTAAACAGAACAATTCAAATATTTCCTCTTCCTTGTTTGACAGTCATATTCACTTAGGTGCCTTTCTTTGTATGTAAACACAACCAGCCAGCTACAAGAATGTTAAGGTTTATAAATGTAGAAAAACACTCATATCTCTTAATAAATTACTAATTGTCTAGCTGTAATGACTGTTTTGCTTCTCTAGAACATTTTCTCTATTATTCATGTCAGTGATCAAGCTTGTTATTATTGGTGGAACTTTTCTATTTTCTCTTTAAAAAAATAAAAAATCAAGAATTAAAAGCATGAATCATGCACCCAGGATATCAAATGATATAAATTCTGTCTTTTTATTTATTTATTTATTTAAACTGAGCCATCAGGACAGGAAGGTCTAATTGTACTAGCCAAAAGATAATTTTTACTGTGTACATGACTATAGGATCCCATTTCTTTAAGGATATTAACCTATCTCAAATGAATATCCCCCTTTTTAGGAAAATGAGTGGAAGCAAAGATGTTTATAATCTTTTTGTTATAACATTATAATATGTACACTGTTTGCAGATATATGTAGCTGACTGAAGTAGCTATATATAGTGTTTCTGTAACAGTGCTAGTAACTTCTGCATAAAAGTATAGAATAAGCTTGTCTTGTGAGCCCAATGACTCACAACAGCAGTGAAGCAGGGCTACAAAATGCTTAATACAGCAGAATTTTCAGGAGTGTCCAAAATTACTATAAAGAGTAGTCTAAAAATTTTCTAATTGGCAAACAGATATATTTCAATAACAATAATAAGAAATTTTTGCTTAGCTTACTGAAAATTGACAAATGTATTTCTGTATTGACTAGTTATATTGACCATTATAAAATGGTCAGTAAGCAACCTTTACACTACTTGACCTGAAAGAAAAATAAGTTTTGAATTGAATTGATAAAAAATTTATTTCTGGCGCACATGAAAAATTATTTATTTTTATGGATGACATTATTAGATTCAACATTCACAAACAGTGAGAATACATTTCGATACATTCTCTGTACTGCTTAGGTCATGGAGCCGATCAGAAATGTCAGGTGAAGCAAAACATTCCGCATAGCATATAGGAATTGTTAAGTCACAGCCTGAGCCAGTCATTGAGCAGCTGGTGAAGGGACACCACCAGCCCTGGGAGCACAGGTGAAAGTAATTCACCTGTGCCAATGGAAGGGGTGGAACCCTATGCCTCATTTAAGGGCTGTCTGCCACATAAGAAGGTTCTCTACCTTGAGATCCCTCTTTTGGAGTATTTGTTAAGCCCTCATCCTTGGGACAGGTAATTAAATTTTTGTTTATCTATGACTGGATTGTGACTTTCACCCTTTTATTGGGTGAGTTAGAGGTGGATATCTGTTGTTGGATATCTGTTCTTTTCCCTATATGTGGTCATCTTTGTCTTTCTTCAGACTGTTAAAAACTTCCCTTCATATTTATGTGCAAGAAGTAATTTTAATTGATTTTGCACAATTAATACTCAAAAGTCAGTTAAAAAAAATTACTCTGGAGTGTTACAGAGAAAGGGAAATAAATGCTATTTAATTTAAATTATTCATTTAACACTATGTTAACTACTGATACAAAATAAAATTGATGCCTGACTGTGTATCTCACCTCAACCACAATGTGGTTTCTCCACCAAGAATGTCAACAGTTTAGGGGCTGGTTCAGCCAGTTCTGTGATTAGGGAGGCAGAGGGATCCACAGATTCGTGCCTCCAGAAAGGGGAAACAGGAGACCCTGAATAATTAAAAACATCGGCAACGATCAGAGGAGAAACAAACTAATTTACCAAATATGGTATCTGAATACGAGATAACACAATAAATATATAAAATCCTATATAATTAGAATTGAAGCAAATTAATCAAATATAATGAGAGAAAAAGTGTCTGAGAACTGAAGGCCTTGCGATACACTGAGGTGAGATGTGCAGTCGAGTCAAGCAGCAGTGAGGAGAGCCTGATGATTGAAAAGAGAGACATCAGGTGACCTACTGAGGCCTTATGTATATTCTTCCTGAGCAGGAATAATAACAGATCAGCAACCAGTCTTCTGGGGAATGTAGTTCTTCTTCTCTTCTGGCACAGGTATCCAGACTTGGGGCATTAACTCTTCCACTCCCAGTGGACTACATGATGTTATGATGTGGACTACTGATAACCAAAATCATAAAACCATGATAGTAACTCACTATCTTCAGTTAAAATATGATTTTCAGGACTTCAATTCACAGACCAAAGAAATAATTCCCTTTAGATATAAACTATGTACATATTCATGACCAAAAATTATTTTAATATGTAAAATTATCACTGAATATAACTTACAATTGATTTTGTTTAAATACAGAAAGTTTATTCAAGTAAACATTTCATAAGATCCTTTCATGCATACAATAACCTAAATGTTGTAGATGGACTAACATAGAGTATTATAAACTATTAGATTCATAAAACTATTAAAGTCATATACTGGCAGTGACATCAAAGTCTAATACACTTTCTGATATGCAAGCACGCCTTACTATGTGACTTTTAGATGCTCTGACGCATGCAAAGGTGTAATCTGCACCCACAGTCTTTACTTGTAGCATATGTGTATTTTGGGAAAGACAGACACATAAAACACTAGAATTTTTGCTTCAGGGTCAAAGTTGATATGGATGACAAAGAAAGCTAACCACCAGGGAGTCAGTCTAAATGGCTAAATGATAATAGAAGTCATTCTTAGTTTCATGTTGAAATGAGATGTTATGTGTTACTCAAATTCATTTTTTGAAACAGTGACAACAATCTTGATTCTTACAGATGACTTTATTTTTACAAAGCTTGTAAGATAACTAGAGCCAAAAAATTTGTAGGTTTGGGACCATAAATAATACTGTTTTCATATCCAGTCTGATTTGAAGTAATAAGTGAACAGATAAAAAGATGGAAGTAAAAAGTACATAAACACTTTGTATACTCTGATTTTACAGAACTGAAAATTTGTAGAATTGTTGATTTGACCCATACGAAGTGCACTTTATTTTCATATCCATACTGCTCAGTGCTTACTGTTAATATTTGATATTACAGATTTGTATAGTGAAAAGGACAAAAGAATTAAATTCTGAGAAGTTTGTGATCAGTCAGTTTAGAAAGCATATAAGGCATCACTGTTCAGAAGGGGGTGATGAAGGGAGTATTATTGCATTCAGACATTATTGGGAATCTGAAGATCTAGTTGCTTTTTCTTTTTCCTCAACAGATTTCATACGTGATCTTCAGCACATCATTTTGGATTTGATTCAGCACCAAGATAATGACAATCTAAATATTTTGGTGCTAGAAGTTCTGTACAGTAGAGGTGAGTAGCAGTGACATTTCAATGAGGAGTTGTGCATTTGTTGTGATGTGCTTTGATATCCTCAGATGTCAGAAAGAATAGAGATGCACTGTATTTATTACTGGTGTTTTGTTTCCAATTCTGTCATCTGCTAATGGAGCTAATATGCTGTAAGAAAGGTTTTGAAGGCTCATAGTGAGAGTACTTCCAGAAAAAAAAAAGTGCTAGTTTTGAGCATATCCCTTATATATTCTATGAACGAAACTTGACCAAAAGATACTGATACTATAGCTCACTTTAAATTTTTGATGGAAATACCATGTCACTATTGTGCTGTATTTTGCAATATATCTAATTTCAGGTAGTTGATGAATTTCAAATATCTATGCTATAGCACTCATCCTCTATCTTTGTACATGCAGAGGAAAGAGTATGATGATTCTTCATGAAGCAGGAAAGATTTTTCAAATGTTTCTACTCCTATTTAAGCTGAAACTTAAGAAAAGTGACTTAAAGACTCTTACATATATTACTACAAAATATTTGAAGCTAGAATCCTCTATATTTGTGGTGCTGAAAAAAAAATCTGGTGTAGGAAAAATAAACTAGAAATAGAAGAACTATCACCAGCTCTCTCATTAGTTATTGTACGCATTTGATTTCATGCGTTATGGAAAAAGGGAAAGGAAACTGTAAAAGAGGATGAATTCATATGTGTTTTCTTTTTTAATAAAACAATACATTTTAAAATTTATAATGAAACATGTTTCAGTTAAGGTTAAAATCTTTGTTTTGATATCTCATAAAAATCAAATTCCCCCATGGAAAAAAAAATAATTTAAAAGATGCATTTTCCAGTAAAAAAAAAAAACTGGCTGAAGAAATGCATAATTTAGGGAGATTTTTTTTTTCAAAATACCTTTGATGCCACAGCAAGATCTGGATTAAATTCTTCAAATTCCTGTCTTATCTGCCTGCATTCTTACTTATAAATATTGTTTTGAAGAATCTATTTTCTCATTCAAATAAATTAGTCTGAGTTACTTACAATTTTGGAATCTTCTGATAAGTGAACAATCAAAATATTCTTAAATATAGAAATGTTGTTAAAGATATGGATGTCTGCTATTGGCTTGCTGCATAAAACTCTTTTGCAGAGTTTCTCTGCAGCATGAAGATGTTATGAGAAACCTTCTCACAAATTGATTAATAATCCAGAGCTACTGAACTTCAGCTGAGTGAGCAATTAAACATTCCAAACAGCAGTGAACCTTCAGAAATAATTTATGATAATTTTATGCACAAGAGCTCAGTGGCTTTTTAATTTGATAGAATGTTAGTAGCGTAGATTTCTAACAAGGGAGTTTCAGTGCTTCATACATCACTGAGATTACTTAAACATTTCAAATGTGGCTGATGAATGAAGTTTCTTGAGATGAGGGGAGATACAGAAGGTGTCAGAAGGTTGAGATTATTCATCATATCAATTATTGGAAGTGGATGCATTGACATCATACTCCCAGCTCGTATTTTACAGCCATTATAAAGACAGAACAGAAATAACAGACTTGGTGGACTGCAGAACTGTCAGGATATACAACTTCCTCTTTCTCTTTGGCCTTATTCTGTGACCACTCAATGTTAGCACTTCCACGTGTTTCTTTGAAAGTCCTGTATAGTATAGAACAGGAGAAGTATCATTTTTTGGATATCATTAGTTAATTTCTGATTAAACACCTCAAATAGATCAGAAAGAAAAGAGTTTAGTTAAAATGAATGCAAACTGTTTTTGTCAACAGTGTAAATACTGGCACTTTTGCTGTAAGGAAGCAACTTTGAAAACGTTCTTCCAGATATTTTTTTGTCTTTTTGTTTTTTTCCAGAAAACTGCATAGGGTAGCATGTTCAGTATTTTTAATTCTTAGATATTTCCTCTTCATTCTTTTATTTCTTTTTTTGGCAAGCAAAGTATAGTGTTTTAATCTTGGATTTCTGACATAACAGCTTGAAATATATTAAGCTAAAGTAAATGACATAAAAGGGTTGTCTTTATATTATGAACAAAGGTAGTCTCTTCTGTGAACAGACAACTGAAGCATTCAGAGACCATGTTGAAGATAATAGCCAGTTGATGAGATTTGCTTTTTATTTAACCTACAGTAAAGATCCTGACAATGAATCATCATTTCACATACACAGAAGGGTAACTGGATGAGTTAGGAACTGAATGCTGGAAAACAGTGGTGAAATATAGGCAAAAATAAAAAGATTTCTAGAAGCAGGACAGCTGTCTGCTACTTAAACTCTTCTCAAGTGAGAGATCACTTTACCTGTATAAAGCAGTATAAATCAAAACAGTCCTCAAAGCTCTGGAACTATGCAGACAGAGAATGATAGGAGAATGATAGGTGGGAGGGTGGGAGTGCTTGCACAGACATGGCTTCAAATCCTATCACAGACTAGATCTATTACGCTTAGGTTAATGAAAACAGCTGTATGACTCTCTGTGTCTTCAGCATTATTGTTGCAAGAGCTGACTCCTGCACATCTCCAAATGTAGTGTCACCACCTATAAACATAATTGAATGAACTCTAAGTTAAAAAAACAAAACAAAACACTAAAAAAAAACCCTTAAAAATAACTAATAAAAAAGCATGACTTAGAGAACTTATCAAATTAAAAGATTTAATTTTTTTTCACCTAGAAAATGGATTTAAATAGCCTTGAAAGACAAAAAGTTGCTATGAGTTTGAAAGTTGCTATGAGTTTGAAAGCTGCTCTGAAAGTAGTGCCTCCCATTTTGTTATATTGATCCATGACATAAGAGGCAGATGTTGATGGCCTGAAAATAATGGTGGAATCTTCATGTAAGTAGTCCAATACATTTTGTTATTGTGTGACAAAATGGCGGTTGAGGGGTGGTCTGAAGCAAAATAGAGGTAACCTCAATATCCTCCTCCTTTGTAGGAATCTCTAGCACTCTTTCTATCTGACTCAGAAGGATTGAGTTTAGTAAGAAGGCTGAATATTGATGTAAAAGTCTCCCATCGGCAGAGTTATATACCAGACATGTAGCAGGTGTTCTTCTTAGTCTCGCACTCAGTTACAGGGATGATGTAATTTTTCTTTTTTTTTTTTTTAACTGAAAATGTACGAAGAAAATGCTCTGAAAATCTTTTTTCATCAAAGTTAGTTTCTAAAAAATATATTAAGGAAGCAATAGTGCAATTATCTTTTAAAAAAGGTATGCTTACATATTTAGAGAATAAATCAAATCTCTAATAGAAAAATGTTAGTCTTGCTTCCAACACGTCAGTACAGTCTTACTTTCTAAGCCTGATGTTTCCATAATGTGCCAACTAACATTGAACAATTTTTCATTTGTCTTAACAAAGAGATAAAACAATTCTGAAGTTCCACTTTACTAGTATACTATAAAGAAAAAAATATTAATTTAGTCAACAGTACTATAACTATGAAAAACAATACAGACCTAACACCTACAACAGTCTTCTGACAGGAATACTGTGGTTCAATTTTGGCAGCTGTATTTATTATTCTTCAGGCAAATCTGGCAACAACTCTAAGTCATGGAAATAATAGGAAAACAGCAGTCCTTTCTTATGCAGTATGTCTATTTCAATACAAAGTTAATCTACCTTTTAATAGGCTAAAAAGGGGTGACCTGGATGAATGGGATATCTTAAGCATCCCAAAAAGTATTATAGTTGTTGTCTTTGCCCCATTTAGTATCTTGATATTTTTTTTCTTTCTTTATTGAGGTGTCAATGAGAGTAATGAGTGTCAGTTACTGAATGGTAGTTCTGCTCCAAGATTAGTCATTAACCTTCTCCTCTTTATTGACTAATATTAGGATTTACATTGTTATTGTTTTTGCAGAGCCTGGGATCTCACAATAATTAAAGTCAAATTTAAAATAAACAGTTATGTCCAACATGGGTTGTTGAAATTCCCTGCAAGCATTCTTGATTAATGCCTAGATTTCACTTAGACCTAATGCTACTGCAATTCTAAAATTTCTAACTTTGAAAAGGAGAAATTGCATGAAAACAAACAACCTTTTTTGTTGCAGCCCAAAGCTTTGCTGGAAAATTTTGCCACAGGGGACATCAAATACACAGGGAAGACCTTGTATTTCTTGTAGAAGCTCATGCTTTATTTCAGCAATCTCTTAGGAGCCCTGCACTGCCAAAGAGCCCTGGCTTTCTGCCTTTCCCTGCTGTAACCCTAGTCCTAACCTGAACTTGGTTGCAGAGTTTTTAGTACACTTTTCATAATAAATAACATAATAAATATGATCCAAAGCTGCAAAAGTTAAATTAAAAATCCAGCATTAGGAGAAATTATAGATTATTATTTAATTTTAGGACTACTTTTGCTCCCTACTTATTGCTCCCAAATAATTCTCTTGAACAAGTTTTCTATTCCACGTAAAGTAATTGGAGTTTGCTGTCTGATTTTTGTTGATCTAGAAAATTACAGGACATTGTTTTGATGATAATTTTTCTGAGGGAATGATACTGTTAACACATTTTATGAATACTTCTTTGAATTTTACATTTAAAGTCATCAAAAATTAATGCCAGTGAAACTTGAGTGTCTCAGTATTTGCAGAAATGACGCAAAAGAATTGAATGTTTTTCAGTTCAGAGCATATAAAAACTAGCGTGAATGAAGTACAGAGACTTTTTTTTTTTTTTTTTACTACTGATCTATTTTAAATATTATGACTTCTTCACAGTAAGAACTGGTATCAAGATACAGATTTAGAGTCTCTAGCAATATCAATTCTATTTATGAAATCCTGGTTAAACACCTAAGCAGTGTTACTCAGATAATTCAGCTGACTTTGACCTCAGGACTATTCTTCTGAGTAAAGTTACTCTCATATAAGCTCTCTTGTTTGCAAGAGAGATCGTTGTATTTGCTGTTCTGAAACAATTTTATTCCTGAATCCACTTTACGAAGTATGAATACAACTTAGTAAAGATCATGTATGTTCAAAGAAAGTATTAAGAAAGTGTTTTTTCTGCATTTTAACACATTAATGCATTTTATAATGTTTTTATAATGTATTTATATAATTATATCTAGAATACATACAGAAAAGTAAAAATACAGACAGAAATTATAGTATGGTTTGAAATTACAAGATTAATAACCTGGGAATGACAGAAATGCTCATTATTTAGAAATAGCCAGGTGAATTCATGGAATAAAGATTAAAATTTTCTATGATATATTCCTAATTTAAGTGGAAAGAAAAATGCAGTAATCTCAACTGCAATACTTCCACTGAGCTTGCTTATTTCAGAATCAAGTCCTAGAAAGCAAAATTGTAACTTAAAAAAGGATGTGAGGGGATTTTTTGCTTAATTTGGGTTGCTCAGTAGAGCAGCCAAGAGGAAAACAAGTGACAACCAAAAGAGAAATAAAAATCAAATTATTTCTCATATGATAATGAACAGAGTGATTTTGGAATGGAAGTTATGAAGGATACAACAATAAATTATATGATAGACTTTCAAAAAGGAGAAAGAAATAGAGACATTAATGACATCTTCCTTCAATTCCTGCCACATGAACTTGAGGACAAATTGTTCAAATTTCAAAAAGTTAATTACAACACACATCTAAACTTCAATTACTTAGAAGATAATGACACCAGCATTATGTGTGTATATATACATAGATCTGTTAGTAATGTAGTAGCTATTTTTCATTGTATACTTCTACTGCTTGACACATCAGTTGACATCCTAGTGTGAGATGAACAAGTGAAGAGTCAGCCCTGAAAGTGGTACCTGTTCTAAAGGCATGCATACAGTGGTTTCCCTGGCAACTGACACATGTGAAGCTCTCTCTCAGAAGAGCTTTTTTCCTCATGTATTCATACTTCTCTGTACAGGATTTTAGTTCATACATTTATATGTAGGTTCAGGCTACAGAATTTATCAATCAAACTATAGCTGCATAATTTCAACCTGATTTTTCTGACTTTTATTATTTTTTGCTTTCCAGCAGCTTATGATGAACATTTCCTGATGAATGGAAATGTTGTCTGACAGTGCTTTTTGTTCTATTTGAGATATACAAATCACTGCTGAAAATTTACAGAACATCTACATGAATTTTGGAAGTATGAAAAAAGCCTGTACTGGCAGTGGGGAGATGCCTATCTACAATGAAGTTGGAGAATGATCTAACTAAGGAGACCCAGATTGACCTTTCCAAATATCTGGCATTAAAATGCATGTACATGCATAATTAATATATGTAGCCATACTATAATTTTTATTTTTATTATCGATTCAACTTGATGTAATTTCTAGGTATTAGCATCCCCATTTGACAAATGTGGGGAATTATCTCAATCATGTTAGCTGTGATTGTTCCAATCATTAATTGAAGCCTCTTCATTTTGGAATTTATTTTGAATCAGACTTGAATGTTGTAAGGTGCTGCCGTGTTACAAAAAAAAAAAATCTATAACTGACCTTCAGATTTCATGTAAGTAGCTTGCATTAAGCAGTGGGCTGTGTATCTTATATAGTATTAGTACAGTAGACAGCTGGATGTAGTAGATAGATAAAAAGGGGTTCATTATGCTCCATTAAAAGACTACTTCCCGATTATGTTAAAGTTTGGAAGGTTACTTTTTTTTCTCTAGGCCCCTTATAGTATTTTTTAACTTAGCTTGTGCTGAATTGGTTGGACATGTTTTGTTCCTCATTACATTTTACACTGACACAGCTATTTCATTTTCACTGGTGTAGTAATTGGTCTAAGAGCAAATCTAAAGGCCATTGAAGTTATTTGGTGATCTTATGTCCACAGAGAGTCAGGAATCATTTTACATGATACCTCTTCCTTCTGTCTTATTCTCGTAGCAGAAATAATACCTTGCGACACTACTGGCCTTTTCAGCTTTGAAAGGGACTTGTATTTATATGTCAGAATCAGATTCAGAAGCTTTTCATGTGCTTTCACTTCTGGGCAACTAAGCATGCCTAATGATGCTAGCAGATCTCATCCTACATGTGACACAGAAAGCCTAATTTCCTTCTGATTCTCATATTTTACCACTGAGAGTCTAAACCAGGGCCTTCTGTACTTCTGGAAAGATTCCCATATTTTATCTGGCTTTGATATAGGTTTTCAACTTCTGCAGATTTTTTTCATTCCTTACACTAACAAGTATGCATGTTTATATCCATCAGTAAAAGGGAGGAAAAAAACTCCCTTCCATACCAGTGAGTATTATTTGTAACAAAAAATAGCAGGAATAAAAAAAAAAAACTGTTGTCAAAGAAGCTGAGCTTGGAATAACAAATATTTTATAGGACTGTTCTGCACTTATTCACTTTATTTTGAATTTCTAGCTCTACCTTATCTCCTTTTGCACCTTTTTCTGTTTTGTTTGTTGTTTTTTTTTTTTTAAATATCATTACTAATTAGTAAACCTTGTCTCTATAGTGTTTCTGTTCTGCTTTATTTTTCAGCACAATAACCATGCTAACGTACAGTGAGGTTAAATGTGAAGCATAGGTAATCATTTGTCAGTGTTCCAAGCAGTATTCAGGGACATTTCAAAATGTTTTTTGTGATTTGGGCTTCCAGCTTTAAAATGTGATGTATAATTGACATTTTGATACTTCGAGGCCATGGTGTATTCTCACACTTCCATGAAAAAACCTCAACTTGCTGACACAATCAGGAAACAGATGGTGACAAAGATTCTGTATTTAATATGCCAATCATTATGCTTTAACTACATATTACCATCTCATTCATGAGGCCACTATATGAAGGAATTTTGCTGTGTAAATCAATCAAGAAGTCTTCAAAAAAATTTTAAATATAATTTAGTACTTTTTTATTCTTTCCATGTTTTATTATATTTGGGGTGGACTATTTATGCATTTTATTATGCATGAAAAATGCTTTGACAACTGCATGGCTAGAATAGATGTCAACAATGGAATTTTCACTATAGATATTTTTAACAGAGAGACCAAGAAATGACTTGGCAACTGAAGTCAGAACATCTTCCATTCTTCACTATAGTCCTTAATCCAAAGGGAGTGACATAGTAAAACATTACGAGGAATGATGTTGAGTAGGAGGATGGATTCTGTAACGTGGCCTCATAACTACTAAAACCTGGACTTCAGTCAAAATTTCTGCTCAAGAAAACCACAGATGGCAGATTACCAGTATATTTCAGTTAGAACTAGCACTGGATTTGAAATCATTGAGTATGTGAGCCAAGCATACCTCTTTTCCAGTTCTGAAAATAGTTATCTTTGGAGAGTTCCTGATTCAGAGTCGCATCATACAGTACTGAGTTCATCCCTTCACAACTGAGCAAGGATCCTCTGTGGTTCAGGAGATCCTTTGAAAATGTTTAGTCCATTATTAGAACTAGTGAGAAAAGGCTTTAGTTTTGTCCTGCCGTATGCAGAAAATGCATCTTTCCTGATAAGAGCCAAACCTTCATGTTCAGAGGAAGCTTGAGTATAGTTGGCATTGTTTTATTTCAACTTGTTATTTTTAATGGGATAAGAAATGGAAAAATAAAAAATAAAACTTGCCAAGCTCAATGTAGCTATGTAACATATAAGCTCCTATTAGCCATAGGCTCAGATTTATTTTTTGTTTTATTACTTATCAAAGGTAGTGGCTTACATACCTTGCACTATCTAGATAGCTGTCTTGGAATGTCAAAAGTCAAGGTTACATCAGCTCTTGACTTTATCCAGGTTGTATGATGTACAATGTCACTATAACAGAGCACTTCCTTCTTTTTTTCTGGGGGATCTTGATTCATAATGAGTTCAACTAGGGAGTAGTGAGATTGAGATAAAGAGACTTACGCAGCAGCTCCTATTTTAGAGAAACAGGTGTTGGCTTTGATTAGAGAAAAATGACATCATCTAAGACAGAGGAGAAAAAAAAAAAGCAAAGGGAAAGGAAGGCAAAAATAGAAAAAGTGGCAACTAGACGCAAATACATTTGCACATATAAAGCTGTTCTAATGAGAGCCAAATTGATTTGACATTCAGTGGCAGTTTGAAGCCAAAAAAAGCATAGCAGCCTACAAAAGGCCCAGCTCATTGTTTATGGAGTGTCATACTTCATCATCTGTGAGACCAATAACAGTGATGGGAAGACCTTTAAAAACAGGGAGTTTGCACAGAATGGCTGTGTGGATACTGCTGATGTCAGATCCAATAGAATGATTGTGAGATATTTCCTGAATTGAAATCGCAATTATGAGATGAAGTAGATGCTCTCTACAGACTATACCTTTGAAAACAGAATTTGGTACTTCATTAGAGTTCTTGGATATTTTCTTCTAGACATGCAGAACAATACTTATCCTATGTTGAGTAGAGATTGTCTAACACCCATGAAGAAAAAACAACAAAAAAAACCCCATAACCTGCAAATGCTGCTTGCACTACATGGAAATTTTCTTTAAGAAAAGGAACTTTGCATAATATCATGTAAATTTATGTAGGCACTTCTTTAATTCCTATTTCCACAAGTAACTTGTTAATTATTTTTACAAAAAAATTGTTTTGAACTTCTATTAAAATAGTAGACTACTGTCATCAGTATGCTGAGGAATATATTTTTTCCATCTCTGCTTTCAGTTAGAATATTTGATGAGGACTGATACGTTTGTTAAATATTGGTGAATACTAACATGAGTAAATAAGCCTTAAGAAAAAAAAAAAAAAAGAAAACACCAAAAGAGAGAGAAGCTATAGTTATAGTCTATATTTATATGTCTATAGTGTGTGTAGAAAAAAAATCTCTCTCCTCTCTCTGCCTTGTAGCTATGAGATCTGCCTAGATATTGCAATATTGATATTAAATTCTGATATTAATATTTCTGTTTAGATTTCACTGAAAAATCTCTTTCTTTCTTAGAGGGAAATTCAGGTATTTCACTCTTCTGTGTTTCAATACTCTAATAATTCAATGGAATACAAATAGACAGTAATTTACATTAGCGTGTCCTTAATCCCATTTTACACCTAGTATCTAATATGGCTTCATAATTCAAAAGGCACTGCCAGGGTGACCAAACTTATAACAGATGGTACATCTATAAACAAGTAATGGAGAGACAGGTTTGGTGGTGATGAGTCTGGGTGAATAAATGAAACATCTTCTTTTACTCATATTAACAAAGTTCAGTTTAACTTTTTAAAATTTTTTTTGCAGATTTTTGTCTATTTCCTGTAAATATTTGAGTGTGTGTGTGTTTATGAGGAGGAACACCCAGCAAAATAAAATAAATCAATCAATAAATCAAAATGTTTTAATAAGCATAAAAAGATAAACTTATAACTATATTAAATACCTTATTCTGATACATGTATATATGGTGTACATTGGCTATGAATTATATATGTGGATGTAATTTTTCCTGTGGTAGTTCTATGTTGTGAATTATATGATTGTTTTTCTTTTTCCACATTTGAGAATTATGTGATGCTGGAATAAAACACAAATTTGGATAGTACAAGTTAGATTTCTAAATTCATTCTCTGGTACAACCTGGACATCCAAGCCTAGGCAATATCTATTCTGACATAGCCTTTATTTCAGTTTTCAGGAGAAATAAGGTTGCTCTTAAGCTGACTGATTTCGTAGTCTAAAGTACTTCAGTGGTGGCATTTAATTTTATTGCATTAAAAATTAAAATACATTTGTTATGGTAAGCCGTTCAACAAGTTGATATCTCTTTTGGTAAATACAAAATCAGTTTGGGATGATCAAAGAAATGCATTGCTACACAGTTTTGCTGGATGTTGTTAAATCATTTAAAATATCACCTTTTAGGATTTAATGTCAGAATTATAACACCACAGAAGTGAATGGGAGCAATTTACATTTTGCTTACAGCTATTGTTTCACACTGTCTGAAGATTCAAGCTATGTCTTTCACTGCTGAGAAACAATGTGATTACATCAAGCAATGTAAACTTCTATAATCCAGTGAAAACAAGAAAAAGACAAATTTCACTTTAGTATATTCAGTCAAGGTTAACCTCAGACCCATATCTGCCATTTTATCAACCATATAAAGAGATAAAAATGATACGACTCGTATTTTACATTGGGACAATCTATTATGGGAAATCATACGTTGTCAAAAATGAACATATAGTCTTTGTGAGAGAGCATAATTACCTGCTGCTCAGACTGGAAGCTTCTTTCCACAACTCTATGCTGTTACTTTAGAAATTGTCCTGCACTATTTTTGTGTTTTCTTTGAAACCTGTGAAAGCAATAGTATGAAATTTTTATATTAAAAAGTAAAAGAGGGAAGCTAAGGAAACTAATGTATATTATAAAAAAAAAAAAATCGAAAACATGCAAAATGCAATGAATCAGTTATGTTAACTAAGCCAAAGTATTTTTTCACATATATAGCCACTGTCTGCTTTCCACACAATATCAATACCAAATATTTTTGTAGGAGAAATTACAAAATCATATTGAAGGATGAATATGTAAGATTTGTATTTTGGTGGAAAATTCACATATCAGATAAGC